CTCCCTCCCTTCCTCACTAAGGAGGCTAGAGCGGCTGGCCAGCACGGCCCAGGAACCCACCAGTGTCCAGCTCCCCAGCTCTGGGGTTACAAGCTCCCAGGAGCTTTTCACACGGGTCCTGGGGATGGAATTCGGACCCTCACGCTTGCCAAGCACTTGACTGAGCCGTGCCCAGCCTCCTCCAGGCCCCAGCCTCCTCCAGGCCGCTCCTATTTAAAGGCCAGGACCCAGTGTGTCTGTCTCTGACGAAAAAATAGCTTCCATCTTGCCATTCAGCAGCAATCCAGTAACATATGAAGAGAACACACATGTTATGAAGCAAATAGTAACCAACTAAGCCTTTAGACAAATTCTCAGCATGCCCTGCTGTAAATGGAAGTTCTGGCACTCTTGTAATTATTCATTATGGCATCTATATTTAATTTAACAGTATTAAAGTTAATGTCAGAGTAGCAAAACTGGCTACAGAATGGGAAAGGAACTCAATGTTCTAATGGTTTGATGCATTAGACTCCCAATTTTATGACGGTACATTGCATGACTAAAGCCCGCAGCATTGGAATACTGTTTTGGGATATGTAAAAGCCATTGGTAAAGTACTTCTTAGGCTTAATTTTTATTATGTGTATTAAAGGAACGGCTAATTACCACATGATGGTATAATAGCCCTAGCATGTTTGAGCTGGAGACCAAGACAATGAACTTCAGCAGGCCAAACCCGGATCTGCATGTTAAGCTGGGGAAATCATAGCTTTCTGTCTCGTTAACGATTTCCAATGCCGTTTAAACTCCACACAAGCATTGTTAGGTCTCAGGCTGTACGTCAGAAGCCTCCGATCTCAGCAGTTCAATTACAGAATTGTCTGAGGGAGGAGACAGAACACACCCATAGACAGAAGAATAACATGTAAAGTTCTGTGAGGCACCTGCCCAGCCTCCAACCCAACATGCTTTGCCACTATCCCCATCCACCCACCATGACAAACTCAAAAAACATTTTACGATGATCATCTGATAAGTTAATTCCTGAAGCACGCTCAGAGGTAGTGTGCAGTTCGTTATGCAACTCAGGACTTAAACAGCATAATTATATAACAAACAACCCTATCACCTGGATTTATTCAGCACATTTTGCTAAGCGCGGTAACATTAGCTCATTAATTCTAGTCCTCCCTGCAGAAGCTGGGGGAGGGCATGCTGTGATGTGTCAGGTGCTGGCATCTCCCCCAGGGACAGGGATGGGAAGGGAAGCTGGCCAGGCCAACAGGTATGCAAAATGCTAATTAAGAACGCTACTTCCTGAGCCAGCAGCCACCTCAATTACACTGTCTCTTCATGCACTAATTTAACAAGGATTTCCTAAGTGGCTACATGATCTGGGAAAGGCCAGGGTTGGGCACTGCAAGGGATACTGAGCCAAGTCAGCAGGAACCAGCCTCTTTGGAGAGGTAGCCCAGGTACGTCAAATATCAAAAGTAAAACAAAACAAAAAACTTGGCCACACTAAAGATCGGATGACTGGAAGATGGGTTCCATATAAATGGGCAAAGAGGGGCCCTTTTAAAAAATTTATTTATTTATTTATTTATTTATTTATTTATTTATTTATTTATTTTTAGTAAGAGGAGACAGAGATATTTAAGTAGTTGTCTTAATAAAGACAGAGAGGGAGTCAGGAGCTCAGTGCCGGGCACGACCAGAACCATCCATCACCACCAAAAGTAACTGATAATATTAATGATAAGGACACCAGGGTGGTTCAGGGTACTAAAGGGATACGTGGTAAACAAGACTAACACCTTGCTCTCAAAGGCTTACCAAGAGGCTAGAGGTATACACCCCAAAATACAAAAACAGAAAGGACAGGAAGAAAAAGAAAAAAATCCATAATAATGGGTACAGATTTCAAATCTCCATTCACAT